GCTGTGGCGTGTTAAAATGCCCCCCCCCCAGGGAACTAAGACTAAGGGGGCGCTGCAATGCGCCGTAAAATATGATCTTGTAGGAACTATGCGCTATTTAAATGTAACATTAAAACAATATGAACGAACAGCTTCAACAAGCATTACAGTGCTGCGAACCCAAGTTATGAAAAGAAGCTTCTAGACCGTTAAAAGATGTCATGTAGCTACAGAAAATAAATTCTTTTATTGGTTCTCAAAGTCGGTCCAGACGATTCTTAACAGCTTTTTGTAACACAGCATCCGAAACGCTCTGATTTGCGATTCGGCCTATGTAATCGATTAACTTTCCTATCTATAACTATCAGTCGACCGAATCGGTGATCTGATAAGTTTCAGCTTTCTTAAGTCTAGCACTAGATGTAATGGCCCATTAATTAATAAAGGATCCTCCAATTTCGTGGAACTCCTTGAATTATGTTCCGCAGTTAACTGTCCGGCGTCATCCTGGTCTTGCTTGCAGTCTCAATCCTGGCATCGAGTCCTGCAAAAGTATTTTCTTCAAACAGCCGCTAATCTTCTCACGGTTTGAATGAAATACTGAGTTTTGTGTTATGTCATGTTTTCAGAAGCGAACACTGAGTATCAGTTTGTTTCAGGACCCAATCACAGATAGGTGATATAGAAAATGTCCGTATAGGAAATTTAGAACTGTCGTCTCTAAAAACATATCACATCGTGTCTCGTGCTAATCTAAATATGTAAATTACAATTACTTCGCTAACAGAACACAATTTAACTTACTTCTAACTTTACAAATGCCACTTCGTACAACATTTTCCTCGCCGCATCGTTGTCATCTGCGGTTATGACGATTTTCATCGGCTGCCAGCATGCGTACGCAAATTTTTCGGGTGCTTCCATATGAACGCGACGATGCGTAGCGTTGATGAGTACGGTTCGGTCGACAAAGATTTGCTTCTGCTCTTCAGTAGAAGGCTTGGTTGAAATGTGGAAATAAAATTCTGATACGTACCACCAATAGTTCGTTTTTTTAAATGTAAGCCTAAACAAGGAATCTCTTAACGGGTATACCTGAGACTTTAAAATTACCATACGAAATCCAACTGATTGGTCTAACATAAATACTCTGCCAAGAGGAGTGTTATACCTGACTCAGGAAAAGGGCAACCCAAAAGTTGCCGGCATTCAGAAACGACAACGTCAAAGAAAATTAGTTGATTAAGGTTGAGGTTTAATCGTAGCATTGTTCAATACGTCTATTCGGAGACACTTTAATAAGTACTGACAGTATGGCTGTCTTTAATGAAAAACGTTTTCCAGCTCTATCGTTTTCATACATCTTGGTATTCAGTTCTGTTCGTTAAACATGCGCTCATTTATGGTATCACAAGAATATGCAATCAATTCTAAATAATTTTAACAAAGGGTGACTAACTGTTGTGAAACAACAATTGCGTATTCGATTTAATGAAACTTTATAACAGAGTAATATTGTAATACAGAGTAATATTGTACATCTTAAAATACATTTTAATAATAAAATTCGGTTCATATGTGAGCGTATGTAACTGCAAGACTCCTCGAAACAGGACTTTGGTCTCTACCCCCGTTTCTTTGCTTCTAGACTTCAATGGGTCATTCAAAGAGATCAAAACTTCGTGGTATCTGAACACCTGCAGTGCTTGCAGTTACATTTCAGATCACTACATTAACCAAATAACTCACCGTTTGTCATGATGATGTTTCCGGAAAATATACACTCTCTATACCTTGCAAAACAATAATTATGGGTTCGTTAATCAGCATAACTTCAAAGATGTATAACTTTTCAAAAGAGGGATCTAGCTCACTGCATCAGATATTTGCTCATATATGCCTAGGGGGTCGGTTTTGTTAAAAGCATGCGTTTCTTAACGCAGTCCAACGAATGAATCCATATAGACGAAAGTATGAAAAATATTGGTTCCTGAACACCATTTGTAAACCAGCACAATACTGCTGTAAGCAATAAAATGATGTGAGATGCATCTACCCATTAAAGTTAAAAATTATCACGCAACGTTAAACAATTACCATGCTTAAAATGGCTGCCTAGTTAAGGACGCGACGCCATAATAAATTGAAACATATGTATAAACAACAGGTAGCCAGCCATTTACCTTATCTGGACCTGCTTTATAGCCTTTACAAGAATCTTCTTTTCCATGTAGAACGGCGGACTGTAGATCAAGTTAAAACTAAAATTAATTATAATCACCAAAACAGACTGACGGACAAAACGGTACCTGCCGCTGTAGTTGCTACAGTCGGAACCTGCATGACTGGACAAATTGGATAATGTTACCCTCGAGAAGTTTTTTAAGACAAGCAACACCTTCTCCGCGTACAGAAGACAGCCAGTGATGTTCACGAAGGTGACGCCTGAATTAGTAGCCACTGCCTTGGCAGCAGCTTTATTCTTCGCAGCTCTTTTCTGTAAAAAGAACTTCCTTTGGCAAAATGGTAAATTTAAAGAACTTCCATTGGTAAATTTCTTCCGCCACAGGAATATATGTCCAGTCCAGCTTACCGAATGCTTTAGTAAAACTTACTAAGCCAGAAGATACTAGCATACAAACATGTTAATTTTAGTGCTGATAGTGAATGAGGCTGAACTGTGACAAATTTCCGCCATCGTTCACAAAACTCACAACATGCACGGCAAAATTTTAGAAACATTGCTCGTCTTTCCACAGTGAACCATCAAAGTCAAAGCAATGATTTTCTTTTATACCTATTTCTTCGAGACTAATCTACACACTCCTTTCAACTAGCCCACATGTCGACATCCTCCATGCATGGCTTCGATCGCACGATGAACGTATATCACCTTATTTATTTGGATATTAATACGGCTGACGGCCTCTGCCTTTCCCATCGCTAATGAAAATGTTCTTTTCCTAAGCAGTCTTGACTTAACGGTAAAATGGGGTATACCAACCCCTTACCACAACTTTATCCGTTCTGCCTGCGGGAAACAGAAAATGTATTTGAGAAAATGATTAAATTTAATACTCTACACTCTTCAGAGGTTTAGAAATTTCTATTACGAAAGGGCATATGACTACATGTTCTAAGAGAAAATGTCAACTAAACGGAAAGAATACAAAATCATATATTTGACTGATAAATCGCGAACCGATCTGCGATATGCATGTGGATATTTGACCACATGGATTGGATCATTTTCATCTTTCATGACAGCTTCACCTTTCAGGCCACGAAGACAGACGCGTCCGACAGTGCTTCCAACATTCCCGATCCGGTGCCAGAGTCCGAGCTTTGGCAGAAGACAACCAGAGTCTAGACCAGACTCCTCCCATACATGTGCCCAGGATGATCTTGTCAGCCCCCTGGACAAGAAAGAGTTGCTTCACCTTCCTTACTGGAGGCAATCGCAGCACGAGCAAAAACCATCACAGTTGTGACTTCTCAATCTGAAGAATCAGCAACTGTACGTCAGGCTCCCCGTGGATTATTTCAGTATTCCAGACAATGTCGAGAAGTATAAGGCCAGCGACTCGTCTCTGAATGCCCATTACAGCCGCTAATGGGAATTCATCTGGAATCGAAGCTTTCAGTCATCGACCACGACTTATCACTGCAGGTAAGCATTGAGATGAAGATCGACTTCAACACCGATGGCTTAGTCTTCAGACTGAGATATGCTTTAGTCACAACGGTTCGGCCTAGTTCACACAGAACGTCACCGGCAACTCCATTCAGCCGGTCTATCTCTTCCTCCTATTTTCCATCACCAATAAACACGACCTCGAGGTGTTTAAACTTCTCCACCGCTTCTCCATTATTCTAAAGAGAACAACACAGGAGAACGAGAAAGCACTAGGTTTTCCGTTTTAGATACGCTCATTCGCAAGCCGGCCACGTTGCACTCCGAGGCGTACCTTTGCAGAGAGCTCTGTACATCAGTTTCAGAAGAGGCCAATAAAACAGGGTCGTCTGCAAACAGCAACCTTCTTGTTCACACATCTCCTGCGCTGATACTCTCATTGCTTTGGCTGTGCCTGACTATGCTATCCATGTACAAAACAAACAGGAGGGGAGAATGCAGCCTTGACGAAATTTCGACTTAACGCTATTTACTCTGACGGAGGACCTGTGCAGCATGAGCATATGGTGCTCGGATGGCCCGTAACACTTGGCCATCGATCCCGTAGGTTCGCCGGCATGCCTCAAGACTGTTGCGTATGGTCCGGGCATAGGCTTTCTCTAGCTCAACAAAGCACATTTGCACCGGATGGGCGAACTCCCACAATATCTTAAAAATATGGTGTAGGGCAAATATATGGTCAGAGGTGCTTCGTTCAGGGATTGGTTCATAAGTTATGAAAACATTATTAACATTACACACGGCGTAAATCAAGGATTCTGCTGATGTCACCAGCCTTTGCCAATGCACAGAGTACGGTACGGTCAGAGAAGATTGTCAAGATGTAATCAAAGTTGCTGTTTCTCTGTCGGAAATTTATATAAGCTTCACCATGACAGAAAGGTATGAATGCCCTCAGTTCTGTTCATAACATTGCGCCTTATCCGAATTAACAGTGTTTCGGCAACCAGGCGTTTTTTGGTTATCAACCGGTGTTCTGTGGTTGGGACGCTAAAACTGACGTTATGCCCAGTGAAAACTCTTTAAAGAGATGAAGAGCTTGTTAACTGATCTGATCGGTCGGTGATTCACAGTTCTTTCAGTTTAACGCTGTTAACTGACTACTGCCTTACGAGTTGGAGAAAAAGTTTAAACTGTGTATTTGAGGATAATCAATGAACAGAATCAGCTTCGACCTCAATAAAGTCAATGAGTCGAGGATCGAAAGGTAAATTAAGCATATATCAACCCGACAAGTTCATTACGCAACTTCAATGTCTAATGAATCGTGCTATGCTTAATTTACAGCATGGCAACACACACAAACTGCGAAATCGACATATGTGACAGCAGAACATTCATAAGCAAAAATTTGTACACAAATGATAATTTCTTGCCTGACGAGAAGCTGGTGAATCAGACGTGATCAATCCAATGAAATTTCTTTTCTTGAAGTCTGGCTCAACTAGCTGCGCGATATAATCTGTAAGAAATCGGGAGTTAGCAAGCATTTGCGGTCAAATCGCAATGCACTGTTTCAATGTTGACACGTTTACAATTACAACCCCTGAGAAAAGCCATGTACATTTAGATCTTCCATTTTCTGTTCAGACAAAATGAGAAATGTTATGTTTGACAGTACTGCTGTTTGATTAACACACTGGCTCACTGTTCAATCGTTTCAGATACCAAAACAAGTCTTCATCATTTGCCACAGCAACTTGAGAGAATATACTATTTCCAAACAACAGTTAACACATTCGCTCTGTGCAAAATATTTTGCTGAATGGACTGTCAGTGAGCCCTTAGTTTTGCGTTTGCGCGAAATTACAGCAACATGATAAAGTTTCAGCTTTTTATCACTTCCCCTTACATCCTCGTCGACCGCACATCATGTTGCAACAATCTACTGATTCATCTCAGAAATTCTGAACCAAATGAAATGTGTTAATACTAATCAGGTGCCCGAGCTCTTCACTCACAGCTGTTAAATCACCCCTTAAAGCTGTAGAAATTCAATCTCTGAAGCACTGAATCAAAGGAAAGATTTGTTAATCGCTTCCCCATAAAAAGTGGCATTGTTGTTTAAATAGTTCAACTGTCAGATCATCATCGTATCCAACTGTGTTATACTCTCTCGAAACATGGCAAACATAAACCTAATTTGAATATAAAATAACAAAATATCAAGAGAACCAGAGTAAAACGATAATATACCACTCGTATAAAACATAATATGATGCAGGATATTATGTACTGCTTAAAATATATCGATAAATATTTAACTCACTCGTTATGAATGGGGAAATATCGATCCCAGCTACTGAGCTAAATATTAAGTAATAAAAGCCATGCATAAAAAAAGTTTTATTAAAGCACAGCTAAAATAAACCCTCAACCTGGACTTTCGAACGTTGTTTCACTGTCAATTTTCAGCAGAGCGTGTAGTACGAGTCGTCACGAATGAATTTATTTTCGCAATTGCTGATATCCTTTCAAAGTTGTTGCATAACTCATGACTCCAAATGCACGAACAGAACTCTCAACGTTACGTATACAACATTATAAGAGTCGTAATATGCAAAACAGACATGCCACAGTTTCAAATTTATACATGATTATTAAATTCACCACCTTACTTAGCTCAGCGAATGACTCGACTTTTGCGACCACCAGATAAGAATCTAAGTAGGGTTGATTTTTGTGGTCGCCTTTCTCGTACTTCACCGGAACACGGTTTATCGACTGAATTTCAAACGCATCGCCAAGTATACTGTAAGGACCAAAACCGGAGACGAGACGCTGAAGTAAAACACACTGTATAAGTAAATCACAAATAAAAGATAGACCCCACTTTAAGATGAACAGAGATTGCACTAACAATAGCAGCTTGTAGAGGCGAGTGAGCTGCATGCACTGTTTGAAATACGATTGGGTTCGACGTTCACCTATACCACACAAGTCCACGAAACAATTTTAAGATCAGTGCTGAGGAATGGAACTGAACGCTGGACCACACTGAACAAACATGAGTAACCGCTTAATTCTGAAGTAATGTCGAGGTTCAAATACATGCTTACCCTCAACAGGAGTTGCCATATCCCGAACATCTTCATAAGGGATACAGTAAGGACA